GCTTTTTCCCATAAAACCGCCGGAGCGCAGCGTAGCGTAGCGAAAATGCGCTACAAAAGCGCTAACACTACGAAAATTTGGCGCAAAAAAAGCGCCGCTACGCTACGCTTTTTGGGCCAAAAGCGTAGCGGCCCACCGCTGCAGCCAGCAAGCATGTACCTCGCCGACTGAAAGGAAGCCCTTCCAGCCATTGAGGTACATCTTCGCCAACTGGAAGGACCTCACTGGCTGGAAGGAAACCCTTCCAGCCGGCCTTTGGCCTTGGGTATCTGTGGGGATACCTGGATATCCGCCAGATTTGGGCGGGAAAACGGCCATCTGCAACCCCTGGCGGGTATCCGCCAGCGGATAGTGGATATACGCAACCATCTCTATCAAAATCTTTTATGCAGTTTTGAGTAAAAAGGTATATAACAGTATTTGGCAGGGACCTGTCAGCATGCTTGAAACTCTGATTGACAGGTCTCAGCCAAAATTTCAGGTTATGTATGTTGTGAAGTAAATTTTTAGGCCTGCAATTTTAAACAATATAATTTCAGATTTGCCCCAGTCAACAATGGGCTGCTAGTATGCTACACTGTGCTAATTGGCCCACTAGGGTTAGTGTAGCTGCACTCAAAACAGTCCAGCAACAACCCTGTAGTGTTACTAAGTTAGCAAACTGATAGTCCCCCTACCCTGCACTGAAGCACTCTGAGTGGGAAAAAAGACCAAAAAAACACATGGTAGAACAGCATAGTGGGCTCTTTATTGTGGCCTATATGTGTAGCATTAGCAAAGTCATGGCAGAAATCCTCTTTGCTACACTAAGGATTAGTGGAATTCTGCTATGTGACACTCCACTTACACTATTGTTAGCACAAATGGCCCATTGTTGACCAAATGATGTTTATTGCACAGAATCATCCAAGAAAGAAAAAATGGAACTCCAAACTGAGACAAAAATCATTTCTTCTCACTTCATCAGTATATAGGGTTTTCATTTTTTTAGCTGAGTTTGTATCATCAATGTAGCTTATTCTATCATATATCATTTCATAGGAATTTTGGGAAAGAAAATGTTGAGAGTTTTCTAGCCTGATGAGAATAAAGGATGTGACCCTTTTCCCAAGCATTTCAAGAAATGCATGCTGCCAACACTGAAACAGAGACAAGACAAGACAAGACAATATCAGGTGTTTATTTGTATTGTCTCAGAATTTGAATACCCAAAAATACCATATTTGTGTTGTCTCACTTTCATGAGACAATACACCTGCATTGTCTTTGGAAAGTGAGACATGTATTATGTACTGTCTCAGAGGGATGATCCCACCAAAAATGTGTTTGATACACATGATATTTGTCTGTATTGAAGAAAAAAAACAAAGACATTTTTTTGCATGTGTAAATCCAAATCTGAGACAGTAGATTTTCTCACCAGCCAAGGGAATACTGATACCAGGTATCAGACTCAAAATAAAGACAATACAAGACAATACCAAATACATGTCTTGTCTCTGTTTCAGTATTGATGCTGCTCATTGTTGGCTGCCAGACCCTTGTGATTGTTTCTTTCTTTCCTTGATCCAAGAGATTCAGACCTGTACACCACGGGACCATTCTGATGTCCCATGGACACTCTTCTGGACATCATCTGAGCTATCCAGAGCTTGCAGGGCAGAGAGTGTCCATTGGACACTACTCTGCCTGACAGTTTGTGGACGTTTTCTGGAAAACTGTTCACTGGATAGTTTTCAAGCCGTCCGCTTGATGCTTTTTTTTGCACTGAAAAGAAGAAAATCAGCAGCCTCAGAGTTGAGCCCATGAGCCCATGGAGGTGCCATTGCACATCCACAAAGCTTGTCCTTTCTGACTACACTACACAGGATTATTCTTCCAAGCCACACTACAGGCAAACAGGCGTCGCTGCGGCCCGCAGCGTCACCTAACCAAAGGGACCCCCCTTGGGTTAGGTGATGTTGCGCGCAGGGGTGTCACCTAATTGCCCGTAGTGCCAATGCAAATTGTTGTTCATAGACCAAATTTGCACTTCGGAGTAAGCCACTTCACAGCCTTTTTTCATGATCAAGTGCATTTTTAGAGATGACAATCACATCACTTGCACTTTTGGAGTGTTTTTCAAAGATCAACCGCCCTTTTGGAGTGTTTTTTTGATGATTGGCCGCTTTTTTCTAACTTTTAGAGTGTTTTTTTGACGATTGACCGCTTTTTTGGAGCTTTTTTCTACCATTGACCGCACTTTTGGATCTTTTTTCGACCATTGACCACCAGCTCCAATTGGCAATGTTAAATCAAAGTGTCCAATGGACACACTAAAAACCATCATGCATCGGACCCTCTTGGTTGGAGAGTGTCCGATGGACGATGAATCCTAGCGTCCATTGGATGCTTCATATTTGGCCAGCATCACTTGGATGCTTTTGGAAGCATCCAAGTGATGCTGGCTTGCCAGAGCGTCCCTCGGACGCTCTGATCGCATCCGTTGGACGCTCTCTTCAGGAAAGCGTCCAGCGGATGGGGCCAGTTTCA